CTTGCAGCCAACATTTGGGTTTATTGTTCTTCTTTCTTCTTGATTCACCATTGAAGGGGTGCATTGTTCTTCTTTTTTCTTGAATTCTCCATTAAAGAGGTTCATAGTTCTTTTTTCTTCTTGAAGTCGCCACCTGACAAACACAACAAAAAAAAAATTCGAACAAATTCAACAACTTAGGGTAACAATTCTACTCAACAAATTCAAGAATTCATCAAAGTTTCTAGGTGTTATTCATGCATCAAAGTTCAAATTCAACAACAACATGCAACAATTAGGTAAATTAGGTTATTTTTTTGTCTATTTAATTTGTTGAACCCTAAAAAAATTTATGTATTTCATGTAATTCAACACTAAATTGAAGAACATACTTGGGTTTGTAATTCACTCCATAATTAGGAAACCTCGAATTGCGTCCAAGCGACCCTTTTCTTCCTCCTTTAGCCATTAACAACAATAAATAACTAAATAAGTGAGTTTTGTTTTACTCTTAAAAAAGCCCCAATTTTTATACTACTTCCAATTAAAAATTGATGATTATAAACTTACCTTACTTAATGCTTGAGGAATTAATTAAGAGCAGCAGAGGGGAGAGAGAGAGAGCCCCAAATTGATTTGATGGCTTTGTAGAGCATCCATGGAGAAATGAGAGAGAGAGATTAAAGGGGATTAGTTTGGGGGAAAATAAGAGGAAAAAGTAAGGGAGTGTGCAAATATCCAAATAATTGGCAGCAAGTAGGAAAAGTAAAGGGTCAATGCCTGAAATTGAGAGTCCATGCCGGAAATGAGGGCCCAGGTTTCATTATACAAAAAAAGTCGTTGTGGTGGTTTTATTTTACAAAGAATGATTTATAAGGTTTTTTCTTGTAAAATGAGCCATTTAAAAGGTTTTTTCTGACAAATTTTCCTAAAACAATTAATAAAAAGACATAGGGTTATGGTTCACCATGCTTATAATTCTAAATCTATCAAACATTAATAACAATTCAATCAATCAATTATCTAGAGCATTTTCTAAGCCTACGGTCTGGTCTTAACGCTCTCAATTCAACATATGTAGTTCGGTCGCTAACATAATCAATATTGCTAATTGTAGGTAAGCCTTTAAAAGCAAGATCTTTCGATTCAAACTGTTATTAACAATAATTAATCAAACAATTGACCAGGTTGCAAGATTAACAATAAAACACTATCAATTAGAGAAATCAATAATTAAAATATTAAAAACATCAATCAAGATTCATAATATAAATATGGATTCCCAAACCCTAGAAATAAACTACTCTAGCATAAAATAAATAATAAAGAAACCATAATTAAAAGTAAGGAAATAAATTACCTCTATAAATTAAAGTAACAAATTCAAGGACAAATCTATGGAGGAATCCATGGAGTTGTCCATGAAAAACTAGGGCTAGAGAGAAAACTAAAACGAACGTAAAATAAAAAGTATAAAAAGGCCTCAAAAGACATAAGGGGGAAATGAAATCCCTTTGAGTATTTATACCATCCTAAAACTAATCTAAAGATAAATAAATAAATAAAATAAAATCAGAAAATAGCAATTACATAAGTCGTGATATGATTGGTCGATTGAAAGAGTTATAATCAACGTAGAATTCCTCGTGGCTTGCGCGCACACCCCACCCGTCGGGCGATGGGTGGCCGATGGTTGGACGAGCTGCACAAGGGGGATTTCGACCAGCAGCCGCTGGTTTTCCATCGCCCCAACCAGCAGCTCACGGCTGATCGCACAGCACGTCCATCGCCCGATGGCTGGGCGATGGATTGGCAACTTCGCAGGGTCGACTTCAAAGGCTTGTATCTCGAGATCTAGGAAGTGTATAGGGGCGTGCGACCTATCAATGGAAATCTCTTTAAGTCTAGTTTCTAATTCAATTTGAATCGATTCATTCCGATCTGTATAACTCAAGTTATGATCAAACGAGTGACCAAAGGTTTGTTTTGACACTTTGTAGACCATCGTTTAACTTCGTTTCTAGCTCAAATTCAATTTCGAAAGATGCATAGCTACCCTTGTGATGCTATATTCATTCCTCATGCATATAAATCTCAAAACCAACATCCACGAACATATATCCTTCATTGAGCGGCCTCGATTCATCCATGTTTCATCATTTCATTGTCCGATTCTTCTAAAACTACTCCGAAAACATCCAAATAATTATAAAAAAAAACTACCTGAAACATTAAGAAAACACAAACGAAGCGTAATAGAGTAAAACATGGACAACTTATACATTTGCGTCCTAAAAATCAACAAAAAGAACTAAAAAGCTACTATGAAACTAGCATAAACGTGCCTACAAATCCTATATAAATATGATTCATCAAGGGTTAGGGACCCCTTTGAGGACCCTAAGAAACCAGGGTCTTTAACTAAGACTGGTATTAAAATTTCTTGCTCTATTTGCAAATCCAAACAACATAACAAGAGAAGATGCCTACATAAGGATATTGCGAATATGACAACTGAACCACCCCAGAAAAAGGCTAGGGGGAGGCCTAGGAAAGAGGGAACCCCCAGTCTAAACCACTTTGGCTGCAGCTCAGAGTGCACCTACTGCACACCAGGATATCTCTGCACAACCCACATTGCTAGGGAGAGGAGGAAGATCAATTAGGGGTGGAAAAGGTGCAAGAGGAGAGCAACAGTCAGCAGGTGTTTCAGCTTCAACACAACCTGCTCCTGCAACAACAAGACAAGAAAGGGGAAGAGGTGGTAGGGGCAGAGGAAGAGGAAGAGCCAACTCACAAGGTCCAAGGGGAGTTGGAGTTCTCTTTGGTGAAGATGGCTCTATACTTAACAATGTAAGTAGATAACCCAACTGCAAGCACTTCAGAACTCTCATCATTTTTCTAATCAAATCTACATATTTTGTACAGGTGAGGGGTAGATCTGCAAGGGATTTAGCAGGGACAACAGCCACTATGAGCACAAGAAGTAGAGCATTGAGCCAACAAAGCTTGAATTTCATCATTGGTGGTCAATCAAGTCAGCAGTCAACCCTATACAGCCCAACTCAGTAGATCTTAAGTTATCTTGTTAAGTCATTTATGAATGTAGTATGCATATTTTGGATTTGGATACACAGTAGAACTCTTGCAGATTACTTGTAATGTAGCTTGATATTTTGGATTTGGCTAGAAGAATTTGGAACCAACATTAGGTCCCTTCTTCACTGTGCGCATAATTGCATCCAACCCACAACTGCACTTCGTGGTTGAATAAATCCCTCCCCTTGAGGTTGAAGACGAAGCAGAAGACCCACCGCCAAGACTCCTACCACCGGCCATCGCAAACTTGAAGGAGAGTAAAGAATATTTTTTTAATTTTTTTTCCCTTAAAAATCGAATAACAGGGGAGGAGAGTGAAGAAGAAAGGGGTGAGAAAGATGTAACGGGAAAAAATTACAGGTAAGATGGATTTTAAGTCCAAAAAGAAAAAAAAATTAAAATACACGTGGATGGCCACGTCAGTTTTGACATGTTTCAAAAGGTTACTCGCCTACTATGACTACTCTTGGTAAACACCCCCACGTCAGTGAAGGAAAATTGGATTTTGATTCAGTTCATTAAGAACTTCCTAATCATTTTTTTTTAAAACCAAAAATATTACATAGGTAATTTTGGATTTTTCTAGCAAAATAAATCTGATTTTATTATTGTGTTTAATATGGTCCAAAAATTCTAAACAATAATTAGTGTGGAATTTTTGGCTAATCAATATAATTAATCGGATTTTGTTTAGATTTTATAAAACAATAATTTTACTTTAATTCCTATATTTTCCTATTATAATATAAAAATATATTTTATCATCTCTTATACTTATTTTCCAAGCAAGCTTTTATTTCCTTAAACTATTTTCATGATCATCAAACTATTTAAAACTTTCCATAATCTATTTTCTTAATTATTCTCCAAGCAAGCTCACTTGCCTTCATTTATTTCATGATTAAACACTTACATTAGTTCTTTATTTTTTAATCACTCTAAAATAAACCTTCCTTCATTACTAAACTTCCTTAATTTAAACTCTCTTTTCCAAGTAAATTCTTAAACTAAATTTACCATAATTCTTCTTGTAAGATCTTACATTAATTCTTTCGTTCACGAGCCTATAAATACCCCCTCATACCTCTCATATTCTTCACACCAAAACTCAATTCTCTTTTTTCCTCAAAAAAAAATTGAAAAAAAAAAAAAAAAAAACTCAATTATCTTCTTCTCTCTTACTCTTCTTTTCCCTCAACATTTTCCTACTTTTCGGGCACTTTTGGTCAGTTATTGGGGTTTTGATGTTTCATAGAAAATTGTTCCTCTCGAAAAATCCTTGAGGTTAAGCTCAAGAATCACTCAATTCAAAGTTATATTGAATGACTTATAGCCTCTGCAAGTTCTACCTATTCTTTCCAACGCAAATTCAATTCTCTTTAATCCTATTCCTTTTTTTCTTCATGGTAAGTTTTCTAAAATATAAATACGTACTCGTATTTCAAAGTTATAGTTTTATATTAAAGTATTATTTTTAAAAAGAGTTTTATAGTCCATGTACATTAGATTTGGGTTTATGTCTAAAGATGATGTGATAACCTTATGGTTATGTTAATTACAAGGTGTATTATAATTTGTGATTGAACTTTGAAAGTGCAAAGTGTTGATATTCATAATCAAGGTACGTTTATTCCCTTGCTTTTCACTCCTACATTCACGCCAACATTTAGTGTGTATGAACAGACATACCCGTACTACTTCACCACAACCTTGCCACCTCACTGATTTTTCGCGCTGGTTCAGACACTGGTCCGACTTATTACTAAAAAAAATGAACCCCTATATTCATCCACTTATCAGATCCAATCAAAGATTATGAGTTAATAATACTGAATTTTATATCAGGGCTCAAAATCTCGAGTATGGGGCCTTTGGGGAAAGAGAAGACCTTGGAAAGTATAGGGGTGGGGGAGAGATTACCATGAGATATGAAGGATCTTTACTGGATTCAGCACAATGGATTCTATATGATTAAGACTTATATACTGTATATCTTGTACAAAATCTTATGTGGAAAAGACGCTTTACTGCCATTATAAATCTATGTGCAATGTGAAAACAATCATCAGAAATTTAGATCACAGTTATATCTTCGAATCTACAAAGGAGAAACAGCTTGCTTGGCTTCTTCAGAGGAAGACCCTGAGTCAGGCTCCAATTTGCGGAACAATAGCTTCTGCTGAGGGAGCTGGCCATTTGAATATGCCGTGACCTCTGTATCAACAAGAATGCAATCCTCTTCCTTGAATTCCCCTCTTAATATGCCTTTAGCAATTTCGTTCTCAACATATTGTTGTATGACACGCTTGACTGGCCTAGCACCGTAGTTGGGATCATATCCAAGGTTGCCAAGAAGCTGAACTGCAGCATCGGTCACTTGAATAGACATCTTACGATCTGCAATTCTTGACTGTACTCTTTGCAGCTGGAAGACGTTACAAATAAATTATTAGTAAACAAAGAGACAGAAGAAGAGAATAAGAACACATTTAAGTCTGTTACATACGTGGAAGGCATTAGGAATAAGAGACAAACCTGTAATTGAACAATGCTGTTAATCTGATCACGATCAAGAGGCTGGAAGACTATGTATTCGTCTACTCTATTCATGAACTCAGGTCGGAAGATTGATCTGGCCGCATCCATTACTCTCTGCTTTATTTTTTCATATGTTACCTCCTTTGATGTTGTCTCATCATCAGCTGCATTAAGGATGTACTGTGATCCGACATTTGAAGTCATAATGATGACAGTATTGGTGAAGCTCACTGTTCGTCCTTGAGAGTCTGTCACCCTACCATCGTCTAGAATTTGAAGGAAAACATTGAAAACATCAGCGTGAGCTTTTTCTATTTCATCAAATAGGATCACGGCATAAGGCCTCCTTCTAACTATCTCTGTTAGTTGACCTCCCTCCTCATAGCCCACATAACCAGGCGGAGCACCTATCAGTCTTGAGACGGCGAATTTCTCCATATATTCACTCATATCAATTCGGACAAGGGCATCTTCAGTGTTGAACAGGTAAGAGGCAAGGGCCTTTGCTAACTCTGTTTTTCCCACACCTGTGGGACCCATGAACATGAAACTAGCAATGGGACGGTGTGGATCTGAAAGCCCAGCTCTAGACCGCTGAATAGCCTCGGCAACAGCTGTCACTGCAGGATCTTGGCCCACAACACGTTTGTGTAGCTCTTCTTCCAAATGCAATAACTTCTCCCTCTCTGACTGTTGCAGCTTTGATAAAGGAATTCCAGTCCACTTGCTGACTATTTCAGCAATATCGGTCCCAGTTACTTCTTCACGTAACATTGACTTTCCAGATTTCATGTACTCATCCAATTCTTTTTCAGCACTTTCCAATTGGCGTTGTAGAGAGTTGAGGCTGCCATACTTCAGTTCAGCAGCACGATTAAGATCGTATTCTCGCTCTGCCTGTTGGATCTCAATATTCACCCTGTCAATCTGAATAAACAAAGTTGAGTTAGTTTTTTTAGTCTAAGCTCTAAGCCTATTGGTTGCAATGTTTACTATACTAGCAAGATTATAAAATCATAAGGAATATCACAAGTTCACAACTATTTGTCATCCTAGCAGCCACAAAGAAAAAACAAAAGATCAAATTCATGAAAATCTTAACTAAGCCGAAAAAAAATATACCTCCTCTTTGATAGACTGTATTCGTGTCATTACAGATTTTTCATGCTCCCATTGCTCAGTCAACTCAGCCTGCTTTTCCTTTAACAGGGAAAGTTCTGCATCAAGTCGATTAAGCCTCTCCTTTGATGCTTTGTCAGTATCATTTGTAAGTGAGAGTCTTTCCATCTCAAACTTCAATACAGAACGATTGATCTCATCCAGGGCAGTAGGTTTTGATGTGATCTCCATCTTTAGTTTAGCAGCTGCTTCATCTACCAAGTCAATAGCTGCAGTAAAAACATCACACAGTATGAACAGTCTGACACATCAAAACTCATTCTTTCAGTGTATGGACAACTGTAAAAGTTATAAATTGCTGCAAATCCTCAATATATAGTAAAGATATGAACATATTCATTTTAGTTTGAAATCCCACTGTGAAATTCCACTTCTCATTGATGACATGTTCTCCTATTTCAAGAAGCACCAAGTAGCATGACACGTACAAACTACTCCAGGGCAAGATCAAATGTCACATGCTTTACCACTATAATTCTTAGTCCTCTTGGTTTCACTATTACTAATGACTATAACACAGACATAAACTTCCCTAAGATGAACACCAAGTGTGTTATTTTTCTGACAATCAAACAGGTGTAGATCCAATTGCTGGCTTTAAATTCAAAAGACTTTGGACTTTCGAAATTTACGGATTTTAAATTAAAACAAATGCAGTCGTGAGCTTTTTTGCAGTTTGTTAATTGATTAAGCAAGTCCAAATACATGTGAAGAATTTTGTAACTTGTACAGTTATACCGCCCCTTCGCCATCTATAGGGTCGTTCTACCAATCTCATATGTGTGAATAGTGTAATCTAGAAAACCTGTACAATGTAAAGAGCTTTAGGATAATAAATCCAAACCATTAGTCCATTACAAAATGCTTGCTTCTTTAGTAGGCTTCATTCTGTCAATCTCATGAATAATGCAACCATGAAAACATTAAGCCAAAAACCTCGAAATACTTCTCAGCCTAAAGTTTTAGTAATTGATAAGACAAAAGTACCCAGGCAGCCGAGTAGCACATGAGCTAGGTTAATACCAAAAATATCTCCTCATAGAGTTGACTATGGAGCACAAAATAACAAGAACGCTGGTAGCATGAGTAATTAACTTCCCTCATAAGCACATAAAAACTTCAATGATGGAAAGACTTCAGTCATTCGATAGATCAAAGGACTCTGTTCAATATGTAGCTAAAAACTACTTCTAGGGCCTATATACTAAACATTGTGATCTCATTAATAATGCAATAAGATACAATCATATAAGTTACCTTTGTCAGGTAAGAACCGTCCGCTAATGTAGCGATCTGAAAGCATAGCAGCCTCCACAAGAGCACCATCAGAAATCCTAACTCCGTGATGCAACTCGTATCTCTCACGCAGCCCACGAAGTATGGAGATAGTATCTTCAACACTTGGTTGGTCAACATAAACCTGTTGAAAACGCCGCTCCAATGCTGGATCTTTTTCAATGTATTTACGATATTCATCAAGTGTTGTAGCACCAATGCATCGCAACTCTCCACGACCAAGCATAGGCTTTAAAAGATTGCCAGCATCCATAGCACCATTTGTGGCACCTGTAGAAAAAATATACCAAATTTTAAGTTAAAATTTGTTTCAATTCTTCATACATTAAAAAAAAATACAAAATTGATGTATAAACGAAAGAAAAAAAAAAGTTATTGTTCCAAGAAAATAGCCTTTTTGGTAGACCAATAAGCGGCAATTTTTTGACAACTGCACAACATATAAAACACTTAGCATAGAAATCTTATGACATACCATCCATTATATGCATAACATAGATAACACATTTGAAGTTTTTACACCAAGGATAAACATGCACAAGCAAATTGCTTTCCAGGATATAATGATAAAAAAGCAAAAAACATAAACAACTCACCTGCTCCAACTACTGTATGAATCTCATCTATGAAAAGAATAGTTTGACCCTCAGCGTCTGTCACCTCCTTCAATACAGCCTTCAGCCGATCTTCAAACTCTCCACGATATTTAGCTCCAGCAATGAGAGCTCCCATGTCAAGGGAAATTAACTATAACAAAATTTCAATTCATAAATTATACAGCATTTATCACCACATATTGAACTCTAGAATTAGATATCCTTGTGCCTTACGCTTGAATGCTCAAAGGTATGATGGGGCAGGGCCATAGTGAAAGCACGGAAAGCAGAACAGAAGAGGATGAAAAAGGAAGAACATGGAAAAAAAAAGGTTTACCTTACGGTTCATCAAAGCTTGAGGAACATCCCCCTCGACTATTCTTTGAGCAAGCCTGTATATAATATGGAAAAAAACAACATTAAGTAAAACAAGATCTAATGGACAAAGATAACAGTGAATAACACTACTTGTTTCCAAAAGTTTTTAGCATTTACTGAATGCACACAAATTGAAGCAATTGGAGATAGTGCTGATATGGTGAGTGAATGTAAGTAAAGGGTGGCTGAAATAGGGAATAGAGTGTAAAAGGTGGGAAGGTGTAAGAAAATGGTAAATAAAGTAGGAAAGCAAGAGCAAAAAGGCGAGTGGGTGTCAGCCCCGGCCCTGGGCATAGGCGAGAGGTGCGACGACCTAGGGCCCAAGGCTCGTAGGGGCCCATAACTCTCACCTTATTCTTTCTTTTATCTGAAAACATAAACATTAATAATGAATAATAATTAATTTAGCCCAGTTGGTTGAAGCGTGCAAAAGTGTTTATTTGTATGAAGGTGCAAGGATTGACCCTTCATACAACCCTTTTTTATATTTTGTTGTACCTTTTTTTTTGTAAATGATACTGACTTATTTTATTCTAGTCCTATTATTAAGAACTCTTTTTTTATTTGCATTTTTCCACCAAAAAAAGTAAAATCAGTTGATATTATAGCTACAAAGTACATGTAGTAATTATACTAACATTTCTTTATTTATTTTTTTCCAACACCAAACTAACTAGTACCTACTAGTATTTATAATATATAATATAATTACATGTTTGAATATTACTTTTTCTATTTTTTAATAAGTGCTCCATTAGCACTTTTTGCACTACTCATTTACTCTAATTTGACTAATGTTTGTGATTTATACATAAAAAATTATAGTCTAGTGTGTACTTGTTTGAATCGTCCCAATGAATAGATTGTTACTCCGTACTCCATAATTAACAATACTTATAATTTACCCGTATTGATAATTAAAGATATAATTGATAAACTAACTAGTACCTACTAGTATTTATAATGTATAATTACATGTTTGAATATTACTCTTTCTTATTTACAATAAGTGCTCCATTAGCTTTTTTTGCACTACTCATTTACTCTTATTTGACTAATGTTAGTGATTTATACAAAAAAAAAAAATTAGTCTTGTGTGTATTTGTTTGAATTGTCCCAATGAATAGATTGTTACTCCGTACTCCGTAATTAACAATACTTATAATTTACCCTTATTGATAATTAAAGATATAATTAGTCAAACATTTGCATCATGTGCCCAACAGAAATGGAGCACTTGTTAAAAAATCTTAAAAAATAGAGGGGAGTATAATATGAGTACTAAACTACCAATAATTTTTCTTATAAGGGCCCTTATTTTTTACTTTGCCTAGGGACCATAAAATGTCAAGAACGGGGCTGGTGGGTGTAAAAAAAAAGGTGGATAAGATACCAGAGAAAGGTGTATATATTGTGAGGCAAGATCATAAAAGGTATTTGCCAAAAATGGAATTGAGTGAAAATGCACAAAAACAATAAGTGTTAAAACCCGTAAGAAACAGAGGTGGTAAAATGCATGTCTATCCCACAAAAATGAAATGATGTATCATACTGCTTTAACACATGAATTCACAAAAGTCAACTTACAGAGGGACCTCCCTTAATTCTAAATCACCGCCACCCCAAAAATAAAGAAGTTAATGCCCACTAACTCCCTATGTAAGGCACTTAGGAAAAAGTAGGTCTACAAGGGAAAGAGAATTTTCTGGGAAATGCAATCTGTCAACCAGTCAAGCATTTTTTATAGGAACATTTGAAAATTATACAAATTAGAGAATGAGGCAATAAAAAGAAAGGGATACACAAACGGACTCCAAAACCCTTGCACAATAAAAAACAGTACAAATCACTTACCCTTCAGCAATCGCGGTTTTACCAACACCAGGTTCACCAATAAGAACTGGATTATTTTTTGTTCTCCTAGATAGAATCTGGATGCATCTCCGTATCTCATCATCTCTTCCGATTACAGGATCAAGTTTACCTTCCCTTGCCATAGTAGTCAAATCTTTTCCATACTTCTCCAGAGCTTCATATTTTCCTTCGGGGTCTGCAGAAATGCAAAGATAAATTTTCATATTTTCTACAAAAGAATTCAAGAACAAGAAGCAAGATCAACTATGTCAAAATTCAAAAATGTAACTACTGTATTTCTTTTTTTTAAAAGAAATTACTCCTAAGCCTGGTAAGCATAATTAATTAAGAATCGAAAAGTTGGTAGAGCTAATAACTCAAATCAAAACCAGATATTTGTATATAATTCAGAGCAAAAGGATTATAACATAAAATTCCATTAAAAAATCCTAATGAAATCTTCAAACATCCTACAGATCTGCTCATTCACAGACTAACTTAGTTACTTAGCTAAAGTATTTAGCTCCTTTAACCATGTTTCCCTAAGTCTTCTCTCAATGAATGTACAAGATAAAACATATTCATTTGGGATTGTGATGGATCAGGGTGAAACCCGACCCATGAAGGTGTATTCTCGAAAATCCAAAAGGAACAACCCCAACCCATGAGTCAATGGTCAGGAAGTCAAGGAAGTCAGCATCAACAACAACAAAATACAAGAGGACAAATCTCATTAAGAAGTAATTAAGGAAAGCAAGCAGCAAAGTTCTTTTATGTCTAAGTTTGTTTTGCCATTTTAGTTATTATTCACATGTAATCCCTAAGTGTAATTCTATAAGAATTGTAGTAGAACTTATGAGAGGTATCCAGAAATTGAGTAACTTGTAAGGAGAGTAGTAGCCTCAAGCTGCTTAGAGAGATTAATAGCCTCAAGCTATTGTTATCGTTATTTCTTTCAATCAACCAACTAATCATTCGAGCTTTCCTAGTAACCTCAGTTCCCTTGCTGTCGAAGTAGTAGTAGTCCATTACAGGGATCTTGTTTGGTTTATATCCCATGTGGAGTATCACAATGCCAACTTAATCTATATAACATAGTCGAAAATATTTAGCTTACATGTGTGCATTGGAAACTATGAAAAAAGTGAATTAAGGACTAACAATAAGAGATGAGGGAGTACCAAATATTTATCAAGCTAAGCAAATAAAGAGATATAAGGTATGGGTCTATGGATCTTGGGGGTGAGGGGGGGGGGGGGGGGGGCAGGGATTCTCTTTGTTGACCACAAAAGGTAACTCTAACAAGTAGTTTCTTCCAAGACACATGTCATTTTCAATCAAAAGTAGCAAAAGAAAAAGGACTGGTCTTGGCACAACAAAATAACAACGCACATTTTGTTTGGATTTCCTTAGCCTATGATCCTAAACCCACCAATTGCTTCTTCAACTTACCCCATATAACAAAATGTGCATTGTTTAAGAAATGTGCTTTGTGAGCGAACTTAAGAGAACGGAGGGAGAACGAGTAGAAAGGAGTCTCTATAACGGATTTTTTTTTTACTCCCAACCATTCAACAAAACCCGTTTCAACTATTGTAGAAACATATCAATGACTTACCCAGCTTGTTTTCTTACTACTCCAATATGTAGCCTTACTAATTGATGTCATATTATTTAAAGTAAAGAAAAACGATATCAGACATTATAATTAGAATAAGAAGTATGTGATGATGGGGGTCTATTGCATGGCAGACTCATATTCTTCATCTTGCATCTCTCCTCCACCATAACCCCCCTCCCCCCCAATCCCTCCCATCCTCAGCAAACTTAAGTGAAGATAGTATTATCATATTAAATCCTAAACACGCCATTTTAAAAGTTATATAGGTAAATGTTCTGATAAATCATAAGGCATAACTATTACCTTGGTCAATGACCGACTGCCGCCCCCTTACAGCTTGTATGGAAGATCGTAACGTTTTTTCAGAAATCTGAAAATCACTAAATAACTGTTTCCCAAATCTTTTGTCCTGTGCAAAAGCAAGAACCAAATGCTCTACAGAGACAAATGAATCTCCATACTCTTTCTTGTAATCCCTGGCTTTTTGAATCAGAGCTTCGAGATCTCGTCCCAACATAGACCCAGCAGATTCTCCCAAAACCTGGCAAAGAGATCAACCAGCTTGTCCATAAGAAACACATCTAGTCAAATTGCTATCAGAAAGTAATAACAACTAATGCCACATAACAAAATGGTTGCAAAACCTTTATCCACTCTTGAGAACAAGGAAACCCATATTTTTTTCCTGATGGTTACCACATAAAGACATACAGTACCATATACATATACTAGTCATTGGAGACCTAATGGTGAGAGGCTTTCACTATTTTATCAAGGTTCAAATTGCAACCATAAAAGCCATAGAAGGGAAAAGTAGGAAAAAAGATAGAATTTAGTAACATACAGAAACAGAGCAGTTCACCATTTTAAATTCCACCTAACTATTGTATTGCAAAAACTAGGCTTGCTCTTTCACAGAATTAATTCACTATAAAGGAACATGGATGATAAAGGAGTATCATGATTTCAATAGGACTTCCTCAAACCTTTGGTTGTCGTTGTATAAATTTGTCAGTTGCTTCAAGCAAACGTGTATTGTCAACTCCAGCTTTGGAGAAAATGCGGCGAGCAAGTCCATTTTTTTGCTCTAGAAGTGCCTTCAACAAATGCTCCGTCTCCACTATCTGGTGTTTGTTCTCTTTTGCCACTTCCGGACAAGAAACAACTGCTTGCCATGCCATTTCTGTGAATTCTTGTTGGGTAATCTGCAAAAACAAAATAGTCCACTTGATAATTAGATAACCTTCTTCAATAAAGAAAAGTAATGAGTCGATGAGAGCTAGATGAACTACAAGAAAGATTAGCGTTGCTACTGCATACCCTAGAGCTAAAAGTGCGGAAAAAAAAAGAATGGAGGACAAAAAATTTATAATTTAACAACTTAAACTAGGTTAAGGGCAATTATGTTGTAGACCAAAATTATTAATTTTACATGGTACTCTTTCAATATTGACTCATTTCAGAGCTCGGTTAGTTACACTTTTACACATAGATAAAATAAAAGGCATGCAGGTTCACGGGGACTTCACACCATCACCCTTCAAAAGTTAATCCCTGTTATAGTATTAAATAGAGGCAGGGATAAAGATGGCTTCCAAATGTATGAGAAAGATTTAACATGGTTGATTAGGAGGGAAGACTAGAAGAGAAAAAGGAAGAAAGAAAGCAATGGAAAGTTTAAGCAGAGATCAATTTGTAAAGTTTATCAAAACTCAAAGTATAAGGGTACCATGTATATATCAAGGTCTTCCATAAAAGACATCTCATAATTAGGAGGGTGCAAAAGAGTATATCCTAAAATGATTTTGCATACTGTCTAGGAACTTAATCTCTACATAATATTAGCAGCTAGAGTAAACTAGCCAAAAACAAGGGTTTAAAAGTCTATAGACCTTATAAATCAGCCAATAAAGATAAACATATAGACCTATATAAATATTGACTGTATATTTATATTAATGTATAAGGGAAAACATTATCAAGTAAGATCTTGTCAAATTCATCTCAATATGTACTTGTACATTTATAATTTTCTTTAATACACAATAAAAGATATATATAGTAAGAAGTAAATGGTAATTTAAATCTGATCCAAATGCGTATCATATAGTATAATAGGTTATTAGTCTCTATAACAAGTTAGAGAGGAAAAATTCTAAACCTTCATATACTTGGTTTTGCACCCGGGCTAAATTTTGAATTTTCAACAAGAAGGCAAGAGGGTTCGTATCCTAGTTGTAAATTATCATGTTAGCACTGGTAAGAGGAAACTGTTATGTAGTTATCTAAGTTATCTAAGGAGTTAAAAGTAGAATTCCTTGTTTTGATTTAAATCTAAATAGGCAAGCTAAGAAGGATATGCAGGTATTGCAAGGAGCAATCCATCCGGAATTTGCAGCAAGAAAAACTAAAACCTAGATCAACAGAGAAATTTAACAGGAAGGCGGACAAAGGAAGAGAATTCAACTTCACCATTCAGTTGATGAATGAAGTCAAAAAGAGGGGTAAGAACCTCAATATTCATACTGTCCATCGATCAAATTCTTCCATGAGAGTTTTTCAAGGGCCCCTTGGCTTGCTTCCTTTCCCTATCTTTCCTCCAATAACTAGTATCCACATTTCACAAAATCGCATTCAAATAAGCGATCCAACTTCTCTTGAACAGCAGTGATCAAGCATACACTAGGTACAACTTCACAACCCCTTCAAACTCTTGAATTCATCTCTTACAAACAAGTACTATATGATATCATTAGGTACTACTATCCTAGTTCTTTCAAACCCTCCCTACACCCTAGGGAAAAATAAATAAATAAACAACAAATCGCTTTCGCGCCTCAATTATGCAAGCTTAATTTTCAACAGAGTGCCAAAAATCTCAGAGTAAGGAAAGGGAATGTAAATATAAGGCAAATTATAGAATAAAGTCAACACAATTCTCTTTAAAAGTCACCCCACATTCATAAATAAAGTCCCTGATACAAGTCAACCTCATGATTAAATTAAGTCAACATATTACTCCAATACACCCTATATACTGTTCTTGTTTAATCTAACATTTCTTACACAAAAAAATAAAAACATTTAACATGAGCACAATTCTAACAAACAAACAAGTCTACACTACATTAAAATCGAGTATAATACGTAACGAGTTTCGTTATTGTTTTTTGTTTCAAGTTGAATGATTAGTATAAGTAAAATTAATTCCATTAAATAAATAAAAACCCATATCACATTTAATAATATAATCATAAAATCGAAAACTCGAAACTACAGTGATACCAAACGAACCATAACGAATAGATAAGATAACAAAATGGGAGGGGAAAAAACACCTTACCCTGCTACCACCTGAAGCATCACATCGAACAACAAAAGATCCAGATTTCGAATTCTTTTTAAATTGCCCAGAATTCTTAAACAACAAAAAATTAGTGGAATTTCTACTGAATTTCAGTGAATTTAGAGACTTTAGCGAAATGGGTGTCTTCGAATTGAGCCGAAGAGAGAGAATAGGCTGAGAAAACAACGCATTTCGGACGCCATTTTTGGGTGGAACACGAAGATAAGATCCTGGAAACGACGTCGTTGCAGTAGCCATGATTGAAGTATAAAATTGGATTGTAGAGCTCTGAATTGAAGATTAATGAGAGAAACAATTGAAAGTGATGATGCTTTGAGTAGGAATTGAATAAAGGAAAGATTGGGAAAATGTGATTGTGGGTGTTTGCGCTTTCTATTTATTGATTTGCTAAATTGGGATTTTTGCAGTATGTTCCAGTGGTTTCTAGGTGGGGAAAGGAAGGAGATGAGAGAGAGTTCAAGAAGGTTGCAATAGTACCAAAAATTGCTTAAAAGAGTACTTCCAAAATCACAATACTCGGATTTGAGGTGGCAATCGAGTCTTTTGAACCAAGGCAATATGAGTAAAGGTTGTTGAAATAGATTGGAGTTTGGGGTTATATGACTCGAGTGGAGTCATTTTCAATTCTATTTAGGGATGTCAAGGGGGGTCGAGGCGGATGTTGGTGTTTCCATTCCCATCCCCACCTAAAATTTTCTTCCCTAACCCCGTCTCAGTGGGTAAAATTCCAAAACCATCCTCGTCCCACCCTCCACTTAGATATCCATCCCCACTTAATCCCCACCTAAGACCCGCTTAATCCCCACCTAAGACCCACCTCCCAATTCACAATCCAACATATTTAATACTACGTATAAATTACAACAAATAAAATTATTATTAATATTACACATATTTTTTAGTTATAAAATTAGTGTATTACAAATTATTATATGTACTATTTTATTTTACATATTTTTTTTATATATAAAATAGTATAAAAGTATATAATTTTGTTTTATAAAATATATAGATGTGGGTGTGAGATGGGGATAAGACGGGTACGAAGTGGGGCGGGTACAATGTAAAATCCACCCCCGCCCCATCACCCATGGGGGGTATGATTTTTATCCTCATCCCCGCCCCACCACCCACCCACCCACCAAACCAAGACCCATCCCCGCCCCATTGGGGCTGGATAGGGCGGGTCTCCTACTTGACCCGTCCCACTGACATCCCTAATTCTATTGTCGAGATACTTATTTTAATAAGTGATTTTGTAACGTTGAATAACTGGTTAGTATTGTCGAGTCTAAGGATTATTAGTATATAATGGGTACTTGATTAGCTTTGCCCTATAAATCTCTGACTTTCCTTCTTTCTAATTTCATTAATAATACTCTCAATGGTCTAAATCGAAGATCGCACAAAATCATTGTTTTTTGAAACAAAATTCTCCTCCGTGTGTAAGAGTATTTCGGGTATCAAGATGTCCTAAGTTTGATGTTCAATGCCTGAACGTACTTGAGCTCCAACAAGGATGTTTGAAAGCTAAGCCTGCAAGAAAGAGAGAGTAAGTTGGCTGAGGGTTGACCCAAGAACGCCCTTGTGACGCTCAAATCAGTGAAATGTACTTTTTAGAGAGAGAATGAAGTAGATCATTGAAGGTTAGAAAAAGTTATCATCATTAATCGCTTGCTATTTATAAATTAAATATTCTTTCAGGTGACAAATTTGTACTTTATTGGACTGATTAGGGATAAATTCGTATTTTGTGATGATTAATGGATGTTTAGTGATGATGATGAAGTAGATCATTGAAGGGTATTTTCGTTATTTCAAGTATATTAGGCTTAGGACATGGACTAGGCCCAAAACAAATATTAAATGATGAAAAGACAAAAATCAATAGTTAAAGTGGTGTGTTGAAAAGACAAAAGAACAACAAAGTGAAGAGATCAAAACCTTAATAATCAAGGAAAGAAAAATTATTTGTGTTTCATATTTTAGGCAAGGTAGATTTAATTTTCCTTTTTGATTAAGTGCACCTCTAAGTAAGGAGAGCACAAAATTACTATATGTTGAATTTGAACCCACTACTGATAGCACTTGGATGGGTATTAAAAAACTGGAAACCAATTCATCTAGCTATATTTTGTGTAATAATTAATTACAACAATTTAATGTATAAGTCTTGCATTTTCATGGCATAGGGCAAGTCGTGGCTTAAGGCTCGCCCCTACATCGATTGTTGGTAGAGCTGTCAGTTTCTGACCCGAACCGTTAAATCCGACTGTTTCAAACCGATCCGAAAAGGAACTAAACTGTTTAAAACCCGTTTTTTGGAAACCGAAAACTGACCCGACCCAATTTTTTCCAACCCGAAATTGAACTGAACCGAATTTGTGCAAACCGTTACTAACCCGACCCGTTATCAAGCCAAACCGTTACAACCCGAACTGAAAGCAACCCAAACCGATTACGTTTAAACCCGATAGTAACCCGACCTGTTTTAAACCAAAAACCGTTAAAACCCGATAAAAATTCGATATACCTAAATTGTTCCAACCCGTAACCCGTTGTGACCGAACCGGTTATAATCCGTAACCCGTTGCACTAGTAGAAAAACAACAAATGGCACCCCTATATTGCCACCGGTTCAAGGCAAACCGGTGGCAAAAAGGCTAAGATTGAAGCAGCTTTAAACCGGGCTAGACATATGGCACCGGTTCAGTTTTGAACCGATGGCAAAAGATGTAAAAAAAAAACCGGATCGTCACATACATATAACCCTAATAACTTCTCACTCCGCCTCCTTCTATTATATTCCATTTTCTCCTCTCTCCTTCTCTCTCCTCTCTCCCTTCTCTCTCCTCTCATCTCCCTTATTCGATCCTCCTCTCATCTCCCTTATTCGATCTCCTCTCCCTAGCTTCTTCGATCTCCTCTCTCTCTTCGATCTTCACCACCACAAATTCGACCACCGCCACAAAGCCCACCACCACCACATCACCACTGCCGCAAAGCAGCCGCCACCACCACCATTAAGGTCGACCACCGCCACAATGCCCACCGACATCAACAACAATTTCTCGGTATAATCATTCGAGGTTGGGGTTTAAATCGATTTTGTTGGGTTTATTTAATCGATTATTGGAGATTTTGTTATATTTAAATTTGGGTTTGATTTTAGATTTAAATCGATTTTTCTGGGTTTATTTAATCGATTATTGGATTTTAATTTGAGTTTTCTCAATTTTTCTGGGTATATTATCCGAATTTAATCGGCTTTGTATTTTAATTCGATTTTTCTCGTTTTTCTGGGTTTAATTAATCAATTTTTCTGGGTATATGCATGTGTATTTTGGGTTTTTTTATTTTATTTTGAGTTTTCTTGGTTTTTTTTTAAAAAAAAATTTCGGGGATTTTGTATTTTTTTTTCAATATTCTTATAATTTTGAGTTTCTGGGTTTTTTTTTATTTTCAGTTCGTGAATATTTTTTTTCAGTTTTCTAGTTTTTTGGGGTTTTTTTTTGGGGGGGGGGGGGATTTCTGGGTTTATTTTCTTGCTTTTAATTTCGTGATTTCTGGGTTTAGTTTTCGTAATTTTAGTTTATTGTGAGTTTTTATTAATTTCGTTGTTTTAATTGATGCAGGTAAAGAATCAAGGTGTTGATTTTGGAATTTTGATTTCATTTCAATGTTGTAATTTTTTTTTTCTTCGATGTTGTAATTTTTTTTTTGGATTTTGATGTTGTAATTTATTTTATTTTTTTGTATTGTAAAATAACAATTTAATCATCAATATATTTCTAATTATGTTTCGTATTCAAGCTTGGTTATATGTTTCTGATTATATTCGTTATTTAATGATCAATATATCTCTTATTGTATGTCTAAGTGGAGAAAGCAAACTAAAAAAAATACATGAATTGGCACCGGTTAACCGGTGCCAATTGATTTTAATTCCAAAAAAAAATAGTTATGGCACCGGTTAACCGGTGCCAAAAATCAATTATGGCACCGGTTTTGAACTGGTGGCAAAAAGGGGGGTAATTAGCACCCCCCACATTGACACCGGTTCAAACCGGTGCCTTAGGTCGGGTTTGAACCGGTGCCAATTTCATTTTTTTCACGTAGTGTTGTGACCAAACCGTTTACGACCTGTAACCCGTTGTGACCAAACCGTTTAAAACCCGTAACTCGTTATGAGTGAGTCATTTACAACCTGTTACCCAATATGTTTATGATCTAATCTGTATCAACCCACTACTCGATAAACCCAACTTATTTATGACTTGACTTGATTATAACATGACTCGTTCCTACTCTGACTAATTCGACCCGATAATCATCCGACTCAATTTTAACCGGATATGATTTGATTAGAAACCCGCTTCAAATTGGGTAAATTCGTTTTCAAACCAACCAAGTTCAATCTAAACCGATTATAACCTGAAACGATAATGATTGGACCCGATTTCACCCGATCTGTTTTGAACCGAAACCCATTTCTGAACCGACCCAGTTAAACCAAAACTGATTATGACCCGAACCAATGACGACCTATCCTGATTAAGACCCGAACTGTTTTTAACCAAAACCCACATTAAACGGGCTAAACCCGTTTTCAAACCGACCTAGTTCAACCCAAATTGATTATGACCCGAACCGACAAGAAACCGTCCCGATAAGGACCCAATCTGAATAGAAACTACAATTAAAAAACCAAACCGAACTGACCTGATAATTTTCAAAACCGACCCAAACTGACCCGCTTATTATTTCAACCCGTTATAAACCGACCCGTTATAACCCGAAACTGATAAACCCAACCCAAACCCGAACTGTTTAACTGAATTGACACCATAACCTGTTAGGAATATAGGAAATTGCCGGTGGGTTAGAATATTAAACCCACCGGTGGGATTCATAAATTTGCTTCCGCTTTGCAATAGTTGCAATTTTTGAGTATGCTTCCTCCATTATTGCATCTCCATGGAGATGAAGAAAAGCCACGTTTGGCGTATTTTTTATCATAAAAAAGAAAAAAAAATTGCAGAAGACCGCGGATACCAGCGAAGGGCTTGGCAGAAGAAGATTACGAACACCGGCAAATGGTCGTGGCAAAAGAAGATCACGGACACCAACAAAGGGCCGTGAGAAAAGACCACGGACACCAGCAAAGGGCCGTGGCAGAAGTGTAATCCCCCGTATTTTTAAATATGTTATAAATGAAATTTAATTTTATTTATAATATTGTTTTGTATTTTTCCGTAATTTAATTTCAAAATATTCAAATTATTAATTTGGGTCAAAAATTATTTTGGTACAAATTATTTTATGAACCTTCATTCTATAATTTATTTCAATACAACTAAAGCTTAGTCCATTTCATTCATTTGGCCCATTAATTTTATGAGGCCTGTAGACACCCATTTGTGTCTCCCCAAAACCAAACTCGGTGATGAGTACCTTTCACGTCGAATCATAATCGATTGAAGTGAAAGTGTGGAAAGTTTAGTGTTGCGGATAATTTTAATTTCTTTTCTCTTCTCTCTGTTTTTGAAAACTTATT